TGCCTTGGCAGGTATGGTGAGGCCAGGGTGGGGGGCCGGGACGGGGGTAGGAGTGGTCATAGAAGGGGCAAACACACGCACCGGCTTGCGAGTGGGAAAGAAACTCGTGAAGAATCCACAGCAGCTTAAACTCTGCGAGAAATATATAATGAGGTGGAAGGACTGCTTGGGGCAGGATGGCTGAGTCCGTGACGTGGTGGAGAGTGGAGAATCAGACAGCCGGTGCTCTCAGTACAGCCGCCAGGGCAGCCTCCAAGTTATTAGGACCCCTTGTGGGACCAGCTCAGAGGCTCAGGTCCAGGAAATAAATAATGAGGAGTACACGTATACATACATGTATGAGGCAGCTCTCTGGTCTAGGTAACAGTCCGTTGCTCAATAAAGCAGACTTTAAAGAAGGTTAGCGGGTCCATCCTTTTTGCGCACAGATTTTAAGTGTATATTTGCATTTCTGAAAATGAGACAGAGAACTACTCGACTGCAATATGCCTCATTCTGGAACGACCTGACTTATACACATTTGGGTTGCAGGGAACATTGTGTCAGGCCTGGCTGGGGAGAGTCAGTTGTCTGAAAATATTCACTGGAGTCCAGGCTCTCTGTGTTCGCCTGCGGGCCATGCGGGCTGTCCCTGGGGTTCACATGTGCTCATGAGATGCAGGTACCCTGGCTGCCGACACATGCCTGGTCTGCCCCCAAGTTTGGAGGAGGCAGGAGGAGGCTGAGGTCTGGGGTCATGAGCAGGCTGTGTGCCTGGAAACCTAAGGACCAATTTTAGGTGTGACAGCCACATGGAGAAAGTATCTTTAGAGGCTGCAAGGCTGAAATTGTAGGAAAATGATAGGCTTTAGATCATCCTGAGACAAACAGCCTGCTAGGTGTGGGTCAACCGGCTAGATTTTTATTAGTATTTTGCACAGAAAGCAGTATTCAAATCAGGTGCGGTCATGGCCTTTGGTGGCCGGGTGACAAATAGCAGGAAGACTGGGCATTTCAACGTTGTGATCTGGGCTGAACTGCCATCCTTCCTCCCCCCAAACTACACTGAAACCTGATGGAGTCATTTGTTGGAAAGACAAATGGATATGCAAAAACTTTTATGATTTATCGCCCTTGGTTGTTGAGTCCTGCCCCTCATTTTTGTATTTCTAATCTTATTGGTTCGCTTCAGTTTTTCAGCCTTAGCAACCCTAGCAGTGGGCTAATTTGCATTACTATTCTGCTGCTCTGCATCTTTTTAGGATCAGGGCTATTCCATTGGAACTTGCTGTAGCAGAACGGAGTCCACGAAAGCCTTGTGTGGAACCCCCCAAATTGTCACACCCCATGACAACACTAACACAGAGGAACCAGAGGAGACTTTGGAGTGATGCTTTGGTTTCTCATTTTGGAGGGAAGAGGGAAGGGAGCAGGTGGGTTTGGTGGACCGATTTGCCTTGGGAAAAGTGTCCTGGAATGGCTTTCTCTCCCTTGATTATATTTTTAGTAAAGTTGCCAAAAATCGGGATTTGCATAGAATAAAAGCCCGGGGTTTATTTGGAAATCTTCTCTTTCCTGTTTCTGTATCCTGTAACCACAGTTACAAGACTTCTTAGGATTGTAGATTTTTAAGAAGCAAATTTTGATTTAATTGTTAGTAACTATTGCAGATGACAGGAACCACTGTCTCTATGTGTTTTAATTTTCCACGTTCAAATGAATAAGCCCTTAGCTGCCCTTTTGTTCAGCCTGCATGTGCACGATCACCTTAGCCCTGAAGTTACTCATTCTTTCCCACCTCCCAGGAGAGGATTGGAGGACACGTAGTCATACCAGGGGAGGAGGGCCCTCTAGTGGAAAACCACCAGGGCCCACGGTGAGCAGGAAAGCAAGCTGAGCAGTCACAGAGGCTTGTTAATTTAGTCCCTCGAGTTGGACTGCGTCACGCAAACATGACATGCCTTGCCATGTCCTCCCACTGATTTGAAACCTGTCATGTGGACTCATCAAGAACATCTTGAGACCTGTGCTAAGTCGGGAATCTGTTCAAAAGCATAACCCTAAGGACATACAACATTGTTCACAGCCCTCCCCTGAAAAGCCTGGGGTGGGCAAGGTAGGGGGTGGGGGGTGAGGGGATGAATTTTGATAATATACTTAAAAATCAAGTCTAAACTAGTCAAGATGACCCCCTGTAGGTCACTAGGGCCAAGGTGTGCTCATCTCTAGTTCTTTAAGCAGAAGAACGGCCCTTTCTCACTCTACCTTCCTCGGGGCCAACACCTGAGCCGGGTCATGACTGTCATTATAATTCACGGTGCTGGTCGCCTTGCAACTAGGAAGAAAGTGGCAAAGGACGTTCTCCCCGACCCCTGACCGTAACACACATCTGCGATTACAAGGCCAGGTTCTTACGAAAATGTTCCTTCCCTCTTGTCTAGGGTCGTGATACTTCTGTTGATCCTTTCTTCCTGTCACTAATGATTTATGAACAATATTTAAAAATAAAATTTAAAAATCTCAAAACATTGTAGTTTAAAATAACATATTGATGTTAATGTTTTATATGTGTGGGGGTTTTAAGCATGCTGTGTGGGAAATCCCCTGTGTGCATGTGTGTGCTTACATGCATTCCCAGAAACGATGTAGCAGTAGGGTTGGGGTCCCTTGCTCAGAGCTCTACTGTTGACCGTGAGCCCCTCTCAAGGATTCAAAATGCATGTCTGCAGGCAATGAGAACCGACTCCGAGCTTGTGTCTTTCCGATTCAGCTTAGGAAAATGCTGATTCGGCACATTTTAGCTAAAACCACAGTTGTCTTTGTTTCTAGTCTGTGACACTGAGGAGTCTCTGACTGTCTAGTAAGCAAACCTGGTTTGTCCTCTTATGAACAACAACAACAACAACAACAAAACAAAAAGGCCGCAAGGATTCGTGAGTCTTATCTATATTTCAAGAACCTTCTAAGGGCTCATATCTTCCTTGCAGCCTGCTCAGCTCATCCTGGCAAATATGGCCATTTCTAAATTCTCAGGGGCCTTCCTCTCTGTGAGACTCACATGGGTGCTCGGCCATATGCTGCATGATGTAGTGGCCTAACTCCTTGCATGTATGTCCTAACTCCCTGTACATGTGTATCATAATCCTAGGTCAGTGGTTCTCAACCTTCCTAATGCCACGACCCTTTAATACAGTTTCTCATGTTGTGGTGACCCCCAACCATAAAATTATTTTTGTTGCTACTTCATAACTGTAATTTTGCTACTGTTATGAATCGTAATGTAAATATCTGATATGCAGGATGTATTTTCATTGTTACAAATTGAACATAATTAAAGCATAGTGATTAATCACAAAAACAATATGTAATTATATATGTGTTTTCCGATGGTCTTAGGTGACCCCTGTGAAAGGGTCGTTCGACCCCCAAAGGGGTCGCGACCCACAGGTTGAGAACCGCTGTCCTAGGTCTAGTTCATTCATTCACTCATCATTCACTACTCATTCATTCACCCAGTAAACAGTGATTGAGCTTCTCTGGGCCCACGTCCTGTTCTACTCTCTGGAGGCATATTGATGAACAGAAATGAACAGGATCTTTTTCCTGATAAGAGAGAAATGTGGGATGGTGAACCTTGAACTCATGAGCACAAATGGAAATTTCCACACTGAAAATGGAAATAAAAATGTATCCTCCGTGATAAAAATTGCAGAGGAAAAAGCATATGGTACCCTGAGCGAGAACACTGGGTAGACTTATTTAGACTGGGGGTCAGAAAAAACCTCTGGGTGGTGCTGTTTAAGGGGAAAACTGAAGACACGTGTATTTCATGCTTTGAGAAATGGTTTACCAGCTCTCGGGTTATGTGGTACAAACCCTCCAACTTTGGAGGATCCTCCTGGCTGTGTCTTCCAATGCAGCCCTCCCCTTATTTGCCACCAACCTATGTGTGTAGTTTCTGGTGCCCGCTGGTTCTGATAGCCCATGGAGACCCCTGCCGTGTCAGCTTGAGCTGCAATGGAAGTGAAACCGTTGGACCTCGGGGCTACTTGCAGAGTTAGGATAAAGGTTATTCTCACAAATATATTTATGAAGCAAGTGAGCAGTCAGTGAGACACTTATCCCAATGATGGCACATGCCCTGGATGGCAAGTACAAAGCACATGGCCTTGGGGATTTAGCAGATCTGGGTGTGAGCCCAGCCCTGTGGCCTTGAGCAGACAAGTTCATCGTCTCAGTTTTCTCATCTGTAAAATGAAGGCACGCTCACTGGACACTCACGGGTTTATGAGGCTTAGAGTGACGCACCCAGGCACCGAGTAGGCAGCCCGAAACCTTCCTGAAATCCCCTGCCCTCCCTTCCTCCCCAGTGGATGACCCCTCTGGGTCCCAGTTCTCCCCTTTGCTGCGTGCTCACATGAAGGTCATCATCCTTCCCTCAAAACCAGCTCCTCAAGGCCGAACCTGCTTCCATTGTGAGACATGATGGGCCACCCACAGCAGGGAGCATGAGTACCAGGGGACTGCGCGCTACTTAGTGCCACTCAGGAGAATAGCCCAGGGCACAGCAGGGCCACAGGACCAACTCCATCATCAAGCTGGGGTCAGCAAGGGCGTGGTCCAGAGGGGACCTGGGATGCCGGGCAGGGTGATCACTCAGAATCCGGCAGTCTGGGTCAGGAGCACCCGGACTGAATGAAACCCAGGCCTGCATGTGGCCTTAACTATGAGGAGGAAGAGGGTCTGTGACTTAGGCTTCCTTGAGACGTACAGGAGTGTGAGCATAAGGAAGAGTCCATTCTAGGTCCCCAGGGAGAGGGGTGTGAGCAGCAGGAGCTAAGTGTCCACCGGGTCTTGGGCGTAAACGCCTAGAGATCAAGGTGAGATGGCCTTAGGAATGGCGCGGGCAGGGCAAGCAGGTGAGGTGGACTATGGAGGTAAACCTTACAGCAGACAGGACTTTGGGCTTCTCTGCACGTGTTCTGTGTGATTATAATCGCATCCCTCTTACTCCCTTACAGGCGAGTACAGAAGCTTCCAGCTTGAGAAAGGCCGATCCCAAAGGTCGAAGTGCACTGTTGGCTGATATCCAGCAAGGAACTCGCCTTCGGAAAGTCACGCAGATCAATGACCGCAGTGCCCCGCAAATCGAGAGTAAGTGCGCACGTGAGCCAGGACCGCCCTGAGCCGCGGGAGCATGGGAGCTCAGCCAGACACCCCCGGCTCGCTCGGGGCAGGGGCCACGTCTATTACCAGAACAGCATCGAACCCTCTCAGACCTGCTCAGTGTGCAGGCCACGCGGGCGAGAGCGTCCCTCCAGGGGTGCTGGCAGTTTGTAGGGCATCCTCGGTCATCATCACTCTTCAAGTGCTTGAAAATATCACAGTCATTATAAAATACATAGTCTATAGCATTCACCATTTTAACCATTGAAAGTGTTCAGTTCAGTGGCATTTAAACATTCACAGTGTGGTTGCAGCAATCACCTTCTTCTAATTCCAGAACATTCCATCACCCCAAAAGGAAACCCCATATCCATTAGCAGTCCCTCCCTATTCCCCTCATCCCCCAGTCCCTGGCAACCACTAAGTCTGCTTTCTGCCTCTATGGATGCTTTCATTGAGCAGCATGTTTTGAAGGTCCATCCATGTAGCAGGAACCAGCCCTTCATTCCTTTTTATTAACTAATATTTCATTTTAGGATATAACACGTTGTGTTTCTCCATTGTGAGGTAACATTTAAACTTCATTGTGTCAAAATAGTCCTCAAACTCAATGGGAGGAAACATAAAGTCTCAACATTAAAGAGTGCAAAGTTTCTGTTTTGCACAAGGAAAAAGATGTATGCAGAATTCTCTCACAGGCTCAAAGGACTGCAGCTTTCTATGTCTTCGGGTGAACAGAGCCCTGGGCTCGGGTCAGGTGACTTCTGATTCTGCTACCGGGCCAGCCAGGGAACCTCTTCAGGACTCAGTGTGCTCACCTGCAAAATGGGAGAAATAATAATACCTGCTCTTTTTTGTGTGTGTCAACATAGTGGAAGGTTGGAATAATATATGCGGAACTGTTTATCAATGCCAGGTATTATTATGTCTTCACACATTTTTCAATGGTGAGCATGATGTCAATTCTCAAAGATAGTCCTAAAAATATAATTGTATCTAGTACCTGTAATTATATATGTTAATACACAAGGATAGACAAATTAAGAAATCTTTCCAACAATTACAATAAAAATTAGTTTCTGGCGAGACCCATTAACTAACTGGTTAAGCCCAATGAACAGAGAAGTCCATTTTGTAGGAACACTCACTTCCTAATCATTGCAATGAGCAGGTAATAGATAATCCTGGTATTTAGAATAATCTGGCCATGTTCATCCACCAGTGGGCACTGTGCCTTAATTTCTCCACATTAGCACATTAGCTTTAGGTCACCATGGTTTTCTGCCAGGAATCCTTGTCTCAGCTGAATGTCTTCTCATCGTAAGTAGATGGTATCACACGCGTCCGGAAGGCTGGAAGTAGTGACGCCTCTCCTTCGGGCTCATTAGCCTTCTCTTCCGTAGACATTAAGGTGCAGGGATGGGTGCGGGGCTGGGCAGGGAGAGCTCAGGAAAGGAAAATGCTGAAGCACAAGTCAGTGCGTGGCTTCACTTCCTGCCTACAGTTCGGGGCCAGGCTCTGTGGACAGGAAGTTACAAATAAGGCCTGCATTAAATCTGCGGGTTCTCTCTGCCTAGTCCTCCCACAGCCACAGTCATGTTGAACACAGGACCAGCCCTGCACCGATGATGTTTGGGTTTTCTCATTTGAAAGGTGCCGCCGGTTCCTCCATTGGCATCTACTAACTGACAGTGGATAGGCCCCTGGGTTCGGTCACTTTTCAGAATCATCAGCTACCGATGGCTGGTCCTTTGGTAGACCCAGTGAGGGCAGCACACAGGCCCGGGCACCAGTCTGCAGGGCATCGAGGCAGAGGGTGTTTGGGAAAGATGCCGTCAGGAAGGGTAACATGGCAGGTGAGCGGATGGGAAGGCTGTCCCAGGCAGGGTCCGACCCCGGCCCGGGTGAGAATTGGCGGCTTCACTCTGCTCCCAAGTCCTCATCTATGGCCTCTTCTCTCTAAAGGTTCTAAAGGAGCCAACAAAGAAGGAGGAGGTTCTGCAAACTCTCGAGGAGGGAGCACGCCCCCAGCCCTGGGAGATCTGTTTGCTGGCGGCTTCCCTGTGTTGCGACCGGCAGGCCAGCGGGATGCAGCAGGTAAGGAGGAATCCAGCCTGGCTCTCTTGCGACCTTCATCTCCTTCGCCTGTAGACCCACCTGGGCCACCCTTCACATGCCAGGAAGTGGCATGTCTTCAGTGAAGAGCTGTGTGGTAGGAGATCATGCATTTGGGAGCCCAAGCACCGGAAGTTTCCAAAGCACAGAATTGTGCTCGAGGGATCTTTTAAATCATCCTTCTGTTTAAATCCTCCCCTTGTAATAAATGAAGAATGACTGGCCATAGTGCACAGTGTTTAGTGATGGTGTGATCCTGGCCCAGACTGCAAAGTACAGCAGAAGGTGTAAGTCACATTAGTGTCATCACTGTGGCCTCATTGGCAATGAATGAGTCATAATGTTCTCAGCCATTGTGGCAGTTAGGTATTGCTGTGTAACAAAATGCCCTAAAACGTAGGGGCTTTTGACAACCATTTATTTAGCTTATAATGCGTGAGTTGGCAATGTAGGGTGGTCTCAGCTGGGCCCCCTCTAGTATCTAGTATCTACAGGTTGGGTAGGTGTGTCAGCTCGCCTTCTCTCTCATATCTTTGGTGCCTGACTGAGCCATATGGTCCCTCACTATGTGGCAGACTATTCGGATTTTGTTTTCATATTGGTGGCAAGGTTCCAACAGAGAGGACAGAAGTATATAAAGTCTCTTGAGCTTAGATTTGGAATTGGCATAGTATTGCTTCCTATTACATCCTCTTTTCCAAAGCAAGTCACAGGGCTGGGTAGAGACAAGGGTGGGAAAAGATACTTCATCTCTTGGTGAGAGGAGGGGTAAGATCACATTTAAAGGTTTTACAACCAGGAACGAGTGGCTAATCAAGGCCATTTTTGCAAGCAGTCTACCACAGTCATTTGTGTTTGAATGGGAGTCATGTTTTAAACAAATATTGCATTAGAACCCCTATGTTCATAGCAGCACAATTTACCATAGCTAAGATTTGGAAACAACCCAAGTGCCCATCAGCAGATGAGGGGATTAAAAAACAGTGGTACATCTACACAATGGAATACTACACCGCTATAAAAAAGAAGGAACTTTTACTATTTGCAACAGCATGATGGAACTGGAGAGCATTATGCTAAGCAAAATAAGCCAGTCGGAGAAAGATAAATATCACATGATCTCACTCATATTTGGGTTATAATGATCAACATAAATTGATGAACAGAAATAGATCCAGAGATAAATGGCCGGGGGTGGGGGAAGTGGTTTAGAGTTCAACCAAAGGACTTGTGTGCATGCATATTAGCATAACCAATGGTCACAGATACTGGGGCAGTCGGGGCTTGCCCTCTGGGGTGGGGTCAATCGGGGAAAAAGGAGACATATATAAAACTTTAGAAAATAAAAAAAGAAGAAGAAAATATATTGCATTAGAATTGGGAAAATATATATTGTGTGCAAAAAAAAAGGTGGATTTCTTTTTTTGTTTTTTTAATAAACTCAATGAATTTTAATAATCCAGGGAATATCAAGCCCCCAAAATTCCTGGTATAGAATCTTCTACCGTGTGACTTTGCTAACTTTCTTATGGGCTCCGTGGCTGTTTGACATAGGGATGCATTTGCTGCCGTCACCTATTGGTAAAGTCCAGCACAGACAAGGGCTGTAGGATGCTTTGAAATCCAACTTGAACCTTCTCAGAGGCCATTTCATTTCATCATTTTTGCTGAGGGTTTGTCAGACAAGAAAGCCCCAAGGTCCTCCTGAGACCTGGCATTCTTCTACGTCCACATTTTTTCAAACTTCCTTCACGTTGTCAATGAAATATCGTTCAGGATATAAAAATCCCACTAGTTCCTCTTCTCAGAAATAACCCCAGTCAGGTTATAACAGGGATCAGACTAAGGAAGCCAACAGTCTCCAATAGGACACACACGTCAGGTGTTTGAGCCACTCTGTGAAGTAGAACATTGGTCTCTTTAGAGGAGATGGAAATCCATGATGACTGGACTAAGAATGCTTGTAATAGGAGGGAAGTCACATGATCTCACTCATATTTGGGTTATAATGATCAACATAAATTGATGAACAGAAATAGATCCAGAGATAAATGGCCGGGGGTGGGGGAAGTGGTTTAGAGTTCAACCAAAGGACTTGTGTGCATGCATATTAGCATAACCAATGGTCACAGATACTGGGGCAGTCGGGGCTTGCCCTCTGGGGTGGGGTCAATCGGGGAAAAAGGAGACATATATAAAACTTTAGAAAATAAAAAAAGAAGAAGAAAATATATTGCATTAGAATTGGGAAAATATATATTGTGTGCAAAAAAAAAGGTGGATTTCTTTTTTTGTTTTTTTAATAAACTCAATGAATTTCATTAATCCAGGGAATATCAAGCCCCCAAAATTCCTGGTATAGAATCTTCTACCGTGTGACTTTGCTAACTTTCTTATGGGCTCCGTGGCTGTTTGACATAGGGATGCATTTGCTGCCGTCACCTATTGTTAAAGTCCAGCACAGACAAGGGCTGTAGGATGCTTTGAAATCCAACTTGAACCTTCTCAGAGGCCATTTCATTTCATAATTTTTACTGAGGGTTTGTCAGACAAGAAAGCTCCGAGGTCGTCCTGAGACCTGGCATTCTTCTGCGCCCACGTTTTTTCAAATTTCCTTCACGGTGTCAAAGAAATATAGTTTGGGATATAAAAATCCCACTAGTTTCTCTTCTCAGAAATAACCCCAGTCAGGTGATAACAGGGATCAGACTAAGGAAGCCAACAGTCTCCAATAGGACACACACGTCAGGTGTTTGAGCCACTCTGTGAAGTGGAGCATTGGTCTCTTTAGAGGAGATCGAAATCCATGATGACGTGACTAAGGATGTTTGTAACAGGAGGGAAACTCAAGGTCAGGACCAATAGGTAGATGCGTGGGCTTAGTGCCATGTCAGGGTGAGGTACCATGGCTCTTCTCTCTCATAACTCTCCCATCGGCCCCCTGTCATTCAGAGAAACCAAAGGACTTGTGTGCATGCATATTAGCATAACCAATGGTCACATACACTGGGGCAGTGGGGGCTTGTCCTCCAGGGTGGGGTCAATTGGGGAAAAAGGAGACATATGTAAAACTTTAGAAAATAAAAAAAGAAGGAAAAAATATATTGCATTAGAATTAGGAAAATATATATTGTGTGCAAAAAAAAAGTGGGTTTCTTTTTTTGTTTTTTTTAATAAACTCAATGAATTTCATTAATCCAGGGAATATCAAGCCCCCAAAATTCCTGGTATAGAATCTTCTACCGTGTGACTTTGCTAACTTTCTTATGGGCTCCGTGGCTGTTTGACATAGGGATGCATTTGCTGCCGTCACCTATTGGTAAAGTCCAGCACAGACAAGGGCTGTAGGATGCTTTGAAATCCAACTTGAACCTTCTCAGAGGCCATTTCATTTCATAATTTTTACTGAGGGTTTGTCAGACAAGAAAGCTCCGAGGTCGTCCTGAGACCTGGCATTCTTCTGCGCCCACGTTTTTTCAAATTTCCTTCACGGTGTCAAAGAAATATAGTTTGGGATATAAAAATCCCACTAGTTTCTCTTCTCAGAAATAACCCCAGTCAGGTGATAACAGGGATCAGACTAAGGAAGCCAACAGTCTCCAATAGGACACACACGTCAGGTGTTTGAGCCACTCTGTGAAGTGGAGCATTGGTCTCTTTAGAGGAGATCGAAATCCATGATGACGTGACTAAGGATGTTTGTAACAGGAGGGAAACTCAAGGTCAGGACCAATAGGTAGATGCGTGGGCTTAGTGCCATGTCAGGGTGAGGTACCATGGCTCTTCTCTCTCATAACTCTCCCATCGGCCCCCTGTCATTCAGAGAAAAGGACTTTGGCTTTTGCTGTCTCTCTTCTTGCCTACCACTCTCACTGGCTCAAGCCCTGCACTCCAGCCACACCCTGCCCTCCTTGCTGTTCTTGCGCAAACCAGGCATATTGCTGCCACAGGGCCCTTGCACTTACTGCTCCCTTGGCCTGAAACACTCCTCCTCAGGTGTCCACATGGCTCACTATCTCCTTTCCTTCAGATCTCTGCTCAGGTGGCATCTGATCAACCTACCAGTGGGGCTTCACTCATCATCCATATAAAATTAGTCCCACCCTGTCATTCTGTATCTCCTCTATCTTGACTTATTTTTCTTGTATTACTTACCACCATTGGACCTATTATCGTTTACTGGTTTATTTTGTGTCTGCTCTCTCTAAATGTATTCTCCATGAAGGCAGGAACTGTGATTTGTTCACCGCCTTAAAAATGCCTGGCACATAGTAGGTGCTCAGTAAATATTTGTTGAGTGAAATGTGTGAGTGGGCGATTTGCTGCCGTCACCTATTGGTAAAGTCCAGCACAGACAAGGGCTGTAGGATGCTTTGAAATCCAACTTGAACCTTCTCAGAGGCCATTTCATTTCATCATTTTTGCTGAGGGTTTGTCAGACAAGAAAGCCCCAAGGTCCTCCTGAGACCTGGCATTCTTCTACGTCCACATTTTTTCAAACTTCCTTCACGTTGTCAATGAAATATCGTTCAGGATATAAAAATCCCACTAGTTCCTCTTCTCAGAAATAACCCCAGTCAGGTTATAACAGGGATCAGACTAAGGAAGCCAACAGTCTCCAATAGGACACACTCAGGTGTTTACATTTGAATTTCTTTTAAAGTCGAATGTGTAATGAGACTTCCGTGCAATCCAAGGCTTTTGGGAAACATGTGCACATTGAAAGAAGATGACTGACTTCATCTTCTCTTAACCCCCGGGGCTCTGAACGCTAATTCCTCTCCTATCAGCGCAGCCTCCTGCGTGCACTCCAGCTGGCCTTCCCCGCCCGACTCATGGTCTCCTTCTGTGTTTCTGTTTGGGTTTCTAGGGCTAGCGCTTATGCTACGCTGGAAAGTCTCCTCCCTCCCTTCCCTTGGCACTCACTGCCGAGCTCTCTGCTGGCCCAGAGCCCGGCTGCTTTCGTCGCCTGCACTCACGCCATCAGCTCCTCTCTCTGCTGTCGGTCTCACCTTAAGTGCACGCTGCCAGCTCTGCGCGTGATCCCAGAGTGGGCATGAACACAAGCCGAAGGAGGGTCAGTGCCCTCCTCGCTTCTGCGGCTCATGCTGCAATAAAAATGGGCTTGCCCGTTTCTCGTTGGTCTGGCTGCGTCGTAAGCAGAGGCTCCTGCACTTTGAACTGACTCACTTTACAGGGTTTTGAATCTTGGAGACATGGTGGCCCCAGCCACTTAGAAAGTTTGGGTTGGTCATTCCGGGGCTGATTCTGTTCCTCACCTTTGTTATCCCTTCACAGTTCACCCAGCGACGGGGCATAGGGAGGCCTTGCCTTGTTTAGGGAGCTGCCTGGGCTCTGCGCCTTCCTCTCTGTGGACTAAGGAAGCAGGTTTGAGAAGTCAGAGGCAGGAATCCCTGAGCCTGGCGGCTGCCCTTGAGCTCACGTAGAATGTTGGATATCCAGGAGGTAGAAGGCCACTGGGGGCTTTCCCTCCCCTCATGTTCAGCCAAGGTGCTCAGGCAGTGCCTGGCTTAGACGCCCAGGGGATCGAGCCAGCCAGGGTGGGCACATCCAAGCAAAGGCAGCTCTTCCAGAACCACCTCAAAGGAAATCCTCAACAGGAATAATAACGCCACTGCCCCGCCTCCAGGCAGCCCTTCCACCGCCGAGACCTGTAATGAGTAGTGCTGTCCGGGTGGCTGTCACATCATAGCCAGACACCGCAGCCCTGCCCACTTAGCCTCAGCCGAGTCAGCTGGACCACACCTTGCTCTGATGGCCTGGCTTTTGGCATCCGTTACGCTGGGGTGTAGGGTGTGGCACCTGGTTGGGAAAACACACGGAGACTCAAGGACTGACAGGCTCAGAGCCACCAGCAGAGGCTGGGGTAGGAATCCGATGTGGAAACTGTGTTTCCCAGTCTGCAGCCCCGGGAGGTTGGAGGTGTGGGAGCACGCATGCTTTCAAGGGCTTTCTGCACATTTTCTTGGGGATTGTAAAACAGGAGGGTGCTGAGACTGGGAAAAAAACATTCCCCAGAATTCCTCTTAGTGAGAGCTCTGTATTTGTTGGGAAGAAATACTTTTACTGCCTCCTAAATGGAAGCATCAGTGATTACAAAACTTCTGTGCGATAAACAGAAGGACAGAGGGACAGAACTAACATGGTGACGCAAGGGTGTGCGGCGTGGCAAGGCCACTCCCGGGAGCACCCTCCTCACCTGGCTTCCGTGAAGCCCACCCAACACAGTGCTGACTGTAGGCCGTGTGTTGTTGAATCCTCCAGGGTCTGGGCTTCCTGTTGGGGTCGATGTGGTGTAGGCTCCATGGGGTGAGGAAGCCAGGAGACCAGGAGGCAGCGAGCCCCTTAGAGATGGGCACACGTCTTTGGGGAAGGGAGCTTGCCACTCCCAGAGGCCAGCAGATGGGGAGGTTCAAAGTCATTGGACCTGGATCCCCAAGGACCTGGATCTTCCCACTGGCTTTGGACTTAACCTTATATATTCAGGGAAGCAGGAAGCTTCTGCTCTTGATGCAAAATCCTTGTTCACAAATGAGTGGAGCGAGGAACACCCCGCTCACCAGGAGAGTCTGGTTGACACCGAGGACCCAAACTAGGACCTATGGGCTGATGGACCCAGTGGGCGAAAGTGACTGAGTGTGAGGTGACCTTGAGGTGAGGAGGGTGGAGGAGGTGGAGCAGTCCTGTGCCTGGGCTGGGGGGCCTGGCAGATGCGGGCCTGGTGGAGGCAGTAGGAAGGCTGGTGGCTGAGCTGGGCTCGTCTCCGAGGAGGACAGCACCGTGATGCTGGCAAGGACCCTGCGGCTGGTCAGCGGGCCTCTTGGGTGATGGCTGCTGTCCCTGAGGCCTCTCGATGGACATGCAGGGAGAATGCGATTCGCTGACATCATGCCTGAGGGCACTGGGCATTGCTGCCCACACACCTGGGGTTCCTCTTTCCTCCGTCTCTGAGCTAACTCGGAACTTATTTCACTTCCAGGTGGCAAGACAGGGCAGGCCCCTGGCTCCCGAGCGCCTTCTCCCCGGCTTCCCACCAAAACTATCAGCGGGCCGCTCAACACCCCAGCGTCTCCCAGGCTAGGCACTGCCTCGGAGGCCAGGACGGCCCCTCCTCG